CTATCAAATACCCCCTCATTCTTCTCTTCTGCAGATTAAATAATCCCAGTTCCCTCAGCTTCTCCTCATAAGTCATGTGCTCCAGCCCCCTAATCATTTTTGTTGCCCTCCGCTGGACTCTTTCCAATTTTTCCACATCCTTCTTGTAGTGTGGGGCCCAAAACTGGACACGGTACTCCAGATGAGGCCTCACCAATGTCGAATAGAGGGAAATGATCACGTCCCTCGATCTGCTGGCAATGCCCCTACTTATACAGCCCAAAATGCCGTTAGCCTTCTTGGCAACACGGGCACACTGTTGACTCATATCCAGCTTCTCGTCCACTGTAACCCATAGGTCCTTTTCTGCAGAACTGCTTCCTAGCCATTCGGTCCCTAGTCTGTAACAGTGCATGGGATTCTTCCGTCCTAAGTGCAGGACTCTGCACTTGTCCTTGTTGAACCTCATCAGGTTTCTTTTGGCCCAATCCTCTAATTTGTCTAGGTCCCTCTGTATCCTATCCCTACCCTCCAGCGTAGCTACCACTCCTCCCAATTTAGTGTCATCTGCAAACTTGCTGAGAGTGCAGTCCATGCCATCCTCCAGATCATTAATGAAAATATGAACAAAACCGGCCCCGGGACCGACCCTTGGGGCACTCCGCTTGAAACCAGCTGCCAACTAGACATGGAGCTGTTGATCACTACCCATTGAACCCGACGATCTAGCCAGCTTTCTATCCACCTTATAGTCCATTCATCCAACCCATACTTCTTTAACTTGGTGGCAAGAATACTGTGGGAGACCGTATCAAAAGCTTTGCTAAAGTCAAGGAATAACAACACATCCACAGCTTTCCCCTCATCCACAGAGTCAGTTATCTCCTCATAGAAGGCAATTAGGTTAGTCAGGCATGACTTGCCCTTGGTTAATCCAAGCTGACTGTTCCTGATCACTTTCCTCTCCTCGGCCTGAGCCGCTTCCTGCAGACCCCCATTGGCCTGGAGCGGCAAACTGCAGCCAGTGGGAGCCGCGATCGGCCGAACCTGCGGACGCGGGAGGTAAACAAACCGGCCCATCCCGCCAGGGGGCTTACCCTGGCGGGCCGCTTGCCAAAGGTTGCTGATCCCTGCCCTATCGCCTTCTCTTTCCCATCCCATGTCCCTTCCCCACCACTCCATCTCCTCCCCATCCCACCCCCTTCCTTCCCTACTGCCTCTGTCCCCCTGCCCTGCCTGCCGCACCGCGGGCACTCACTGTTGTACAAAATGAAGGATGGCTCCCAGCACACAGAAGGGAGCTCAACCAGCACTAGGACCCAGAAGGTGGTGTCCAGCTGCAAAGTCCAGGGAGCTGAGCAGCACCTTCTTTTTTCAGCTGGGCTGCGCAGCTTTGCGTTCACAGAATAGGTATATTCCACCCCCTTCCCCAAGGCCCTGCCCCTGCCTCTTCTCTGCCTCCTCTCCCCAGCGGCGAGCATGCTGTGGCTCTGCTCTTCCCCCTCCCTCTTGCCAGCAAACAGCTGATCGACGGCAGGGAGGGGGAGGATGGGACACAGCATGCTGTGAGAAGAGGTAGGGGAGGGGGAGCTTGGCTGCCCTACTGCAGCAGGAGCCTCAGTGCCAGCAGCACTAAGCTGGAGTGTGGGCTTGGCGCCATGGTAAATCCGCTACTGCTTCCAGTCCTCGTCCCTCTGAGAGCAAGGCATGCTGGGAGGGAGGAGCAAAGTGCTGACAGCCTGAGGGATCTGGAGATATTCTGCCTTGTGTATGGAAGGGGGCCTTTCAGACAGTGTGCTCTATAGTTCCCCATACTGCTGCCCCCAAAGTGCAGATCCTGCCTGCTGCTGCTGACAACATGAGTATTGGGAGCTGCATGCCTGGTGGGCTCTCCAAGGCCCTTGCAGTGCTCAGACAGGCAGATATTCCCCTACGTACCCAGAGAACAAGTTTGAAGGGGGAAAGTGGTGTTTTTCTCCTTTCTGCATTTCCAGTTTTTAGCCAGGGCAGGAAATGGGAATGGCTCGAGGGAGGGGCTGTTCCCGCAGCATCCTCAGTCTGGTTAGAAGAAAGCCGTGCTAGAAGTCCCCCAGGGCTTTGAAGAGCATCCTAGCGTCTCGGTTCCTGTTCAAGTTCCAGGCCCCGGGAGGTTTGCCCATTCTTCGTCTATGAAGATGTAACCTGTACTGTAGCATTGATTAGAGCAAGGCCTTCAATGTGCAGCTGGGGCAGGAAAAGTGCTCCTGGGTCTTCACGCTGTGTTTGTGGAGAAGGGTCTCTGGCAGTGCTCGCTATGCACTGTGCAAGGCTGGGGCTAAGATGTTCTGTGCTGGTTCAGGCATTCTGTCTGTGTGCTGAATTCGCATCCCCTCTGGTCAATGGCCTCCCCATAACTGGCTAGACATCCTTTCCGTACGCTGCTAGGGACGGATCATCCCAGGCATGGGAAGGGCACAGGCAGAGGCAAACCCAGCAGATTCAGAACAGTTCCTCTGTGTGTGGAGAGGCAGAGTACAGAGAGTCCAGGCAGTGGGATTTTCCCCTAACTCCATGTACCAATCAGCACCACTCCTCGGAGGCCTCCGCAGCAGGTCTGCAGAGGAAAAAAATTGTGTTGTGGCCAGTCTGAGCAGATCTGAACTGAGACTACATAGGTCCAAAACCCACATGCAGCAGCTGTGGTAGCTGACTCTGGAGGGCTGCAGATGTACGTCATGCCCTGCCCCTGGCTTAAGGAAGAGTGTTCCCTCCCCTCCAGCTCCCTGTGTAGTGTCCCTGTGCACAGCCCCTTTATCCAATCTGTGCACAGAAATCAGGATTTGGCCTTTTAGGTACTTGTTCTTATTCGTGCTGTAGAGAATTGCTGTGGCTGCTCAGTGCTGCTGTTGTTGGAACTCTGATGTCAGCTGCGCTAGCAGAGAGTGAGGCTGAGCCTGTGGTCTTTATGAACAACATCGATGGCCAAGGCACCCGGCCAGGTTTATTGCTGATGAAGCACAGTGCTAGCGCGCTGGCTCCTTGGTTACAGGTACACTAACATGTGTTTCTCGTGACAATGGTGCCCGCTCAGTCAGCGCACAAGGACGCTGTCCCCTTAGTGAGTGCAAAGGTGCCCCTCCTATGACTTCTCCTTTTATATGCTGATACAAACAAGTTACTCATTACACTCCAGATGTGATTAGTTACCACTCTTCTGCTTGTACCTGCTAGTTTGAACAAAACATCTTCAACCATTATCCTGTCATCCCATCCTTATCTTACGAGGGGCCAGTGTGTTCCTGTACCCAGGGCTGGCTTTAGGCCGATTCCCCCGATTCCCCGGAATCAGTCCCTGCGCCTAAGAGGGCCACGTGCCTTAGGCGCCTTTTAAATTTTTTAATTTTTTTACTCACCCAGTGGAGGTCCAGGTCTTCGGCGGCACTTCGGCGGCGGGGGAGAGGGGGGTCCCTCACTCGCTCCGGGTCTTCGGCGGCATTTTGGCGGCGGGGGGTCCTTCAGTGCTGCGGAAGACCCGGAACGAGTGAAGGACCCCTTGCCGCCAAAGTGCCGCCGAAGACCCGGACTGCTGTCGGGTATTCGAATCAGGCCCCGCAGTTCCTAAAGCCGGCCCTGTCTGTACCATCCCTTGGGAACTTGTTTACGTAGTTACTTGAGAACTCTGGGTGTCCTTGCACCATCCTCTGTGGTCAGGAATGTGCTTACTTGGTTAGCCAATACCTGGTGTGTTGTTATTTTGCCAAGGCTAGACCTGCTGTGGTTCACAGCCTTTGGTTTATACTGTTAGTTATGCCTAGGGCTCCAGCAAGGCCCGCAGTTCTTACAGAAGGTACCAAATCAGGAGAAACCTGGGGGGGTGGGGTGTTTGTGCCCAAGGGGTTTGTTTTTTCAACGAAGTTATAGGTTACATGGTGTACACCCCTTGGGTGTAATTTACACCCATCACTGCAACTGAAAGCAAAGCGCCATTGAATCCAGGTGGCCATTGGAAGGCCAAATCCTGAGCTAGTATAAAAGGGCTAATGCATGTCCTAGAGCAGCAATTGTGGGCACTGAAGTGCTGCTGACTAATGACACAACTACCCTTGCTCCTTCAATTGTGAGCAGAGAGGGATGTGCTGCAACTTGGGGGCTGTGTATTACCTTACCAGGCTAACAGTATTTCCCCCCTGTGTAGGATGTCCTGCACTTGCTGAGAGGAGCTCCTCGACAAGTCACGCTTCTTCTCTGCAGGCCTCCAAAAGGTCTTCTTCCAGAAATAGACCAGAGCGCACTGGTAAGACAAGCCTTCTTAGTACTGCACCTGGAAACGCTCACTGCAGCACTTGCTAGTGAGTCTCAAACAAGAAGGACACGGATTATTCCCCCCTCTGTCAGGCAGCTTTGTTCTTTTCCCTTCCTTTCTGTCTTGGGGTGGTCCTCTGAGAGAACTTTCCAGCCTCAGCCATTGACCAAAACCACCAGGTCTTCTTAACCACTGTTGTGCTTTAGAATATATTATATTTACAATCAGTAGCCAGCTTCCCCGCTTGCTTCTGGGGAAGGGACAGTAGCAGCAGCTCATCCTACCTACTTCTGCCTTCCTCCGGGCCCCCCACTCTCTGCGCAGCACTTCCTTCCTGTGTGCTTATATAGTGCTAGCTGCTGGGGACACTTCCACCCAGTGAGCCCCTCAGCTGTCTCTCCACTCAGATAACTGGCCTGCTTTGTCAACTGCCCACCTTCAAAGCTCAGTTAATATAAATGAGTGGGGATTTGAGTGGCAGGGTGCTGAGCCAGCTTGCAACTGAGCCCACCCTGGTACACTCTCCCAGCAACAAACCCTGCTCCCACAATTCAGCAGCAACTTTCTCAGTAGCCGGAGTAGTAAGAGGGGAGCAGATCTGCCCCGCTGGTGTTTCCAGTCTGATCTTCTTGTGGCACTGTAGCACTGAACCAGCCAAAGGGTGATTGCAGTGTTCTGGGGCAGAACTGTGGCATTCTAGCCTAAGCCAAACATTGCACTCATTCTAAGCAGCAGTTTTCTGGGTGCTAATCCAGAGCTTTAAGTAGACTGGACCATTATCGAGATTGGACTGAGATATTGAACCTTTGACATCTAGGCTGCCAGTTAAGTGAACTTCATGAAATGCCACCAGTGGTCTCAGTCCAGTTTCCTGTGTGCAATGTCCACCTCTCAGAAACCACTGTCATGACTAGTACTGATTAGCAGGGACAGCAGAAAGGCCAAAGTGTGAATGGGCTGAGGAGCCTGAACCTAATTTCCTTCTACGGTGATGTCCACACTAGAGAAATTTGGTGCACCAGACAAACTCCTCCTGCACTGTACCACATCTCATGTCCACACACAAGCCCTCCCTTAGTGCACAGGCCTTTGGATTAGACTTGATTCAGGCCAGGCTGACCACCCTGTGGTCCCCCATCATGCCAGTCTTCACTGCCACAGGGCCTGGGTGGATGGAGATCACTGTTAGAATAGTCCCCATGGGACAAACAGATCCCCACACTACTGTGCTTCCGGGGCCTGTCTGCTCTTCTTTCTGCACTCTGCTGCACAGGGGTCAAATTGGCTGGAAGCCACTTACTGCTAACTGGAGATTGTCCACACACCAGAGGGCAGTGAAAGGGGGAGGAGAGTGGGGCCCAAAAATGTATCCTGCTGCTGCTCATACTGCACCTATTTGTTGAAGAGAACTTCCAGGCTAGTCTCCAGAGTGGGGAGTTGGGTACCTCACACTAGCAATACGTTCACTGGGGAAAAGTTTTTCCACATCCTTCCTTCCCTGGAGATTCAGATTTTTATAGTGTCTCTCAGAGCTGTTCTTCCACCACACCACCAGCACTGTGGTGTCCTGCAATGGAGAGCTGGTTGATATTGGCTCTGCTGTGTTCCTCTTGGCCTGTAATAGAGGAAGATGGTGAAGGAGTGATAGGAGAGGGAGGCAAAGCTAGATTAATCCCTCTCTCTGTTGTTTTGATAGACCCCAGTGCCTTCTCTGGTTAAGGAGTTTGGGACTGTGACACCAGCTACCCCAGAGCCCAGCGGTGGTGCAGGTCATGCTGCTAGCGAGAGGGACAGTACTTCTCCAGAACTGGAAGACTATATGGATTCTGAAGCAGTGGCCTCTTGCGGTGACCCTCCTGAGGAGGAGAACTTGTCTCCTGAGGAGCAGGGCACGGAACCTTCCCAAGAGAAGCCATGTGACAGGCCTGGAGCCCACAGTGAGCACTCCTACAAGCACCTCTGGAAATGGCGTCGGGAAGCCATTGCCTCTGAGACGTTCCTGTCTCTGGAGGAAGAGGTGATGCGGAACTGCTACTCACCATGTGAGAGTGGAAGCGCTGAAAGGTAAGAAGTGCAGAACTCCACCCTGTGCTGCTTCCACTGGCCCTTAGAATTTTGCACCCAAGTGAAGTGCTGGGGGTTAAACACAAGGTTCTGTGCTTTTAACTGCTGTGTTAATTAACCAACATTTCCCCTTACCAGCTATTCATGCCTGTCCCAGCCTGCTGTCTCCACCTTCTCCGGCCTCCTTTCTGGAACTGTGCAATAAGCTGCATTGTGAGAGAGTTGAATAAATAATGCATTATGGAAATAAACTGCATTGTCTAGCCAGGGCCTCATGCAGCTTCCATTGAACTCAGCGGAAGGACCCCTATTGACTTAACTGAGAATTAAAGTAATTGAGATCTAGTTTAAGGTTCCTGTGTACTACCAGAGTGGTAATAGAGGGCTACAGAGTAAATGAGAATCAGGCCCATGGTCTTTTCCAAGCCCTTCGTACTAAGTACAAAGGGAAGCTCACCAATATTAAAAGCATAAAGTGTTCATAAGACTCTATTTCCAGATTCTGTACAATTTTTAAAGAAAGGAAAGGCTGTTAAAAGAACAGAGGAAAGAATACCAAGTTCATTCAGGTACCATTCTGCAATGTGAAATTCTCCAGCCGTCCTCCCCATCTCGAAAGAAATGGGAGAGGAGACGCCTTGAAATGAGTGCTCTGCTGCGGATGGTGTGGGAAGCTCTGGGACTGTAGCATAGGAGTGAGAGCTCTTCCAGAGGGCCATTTCTTCTGCAGATTTATGAGATATTTGCTTTAGGAGGTGCTTGTGCCTATTCTCACATACAGCCAGTTGAGATCCTGGTGTGGCTGTCCAGATTCCCTTAGCAGCAATGACAGTACCAGAAATTCAGGGATTCTAGTATCCTTGCTCACGGTCAATTCAGTGGGTGGCTGCAATGCCCCACCACCTTTAGCTCACCCATTCCCCCAAAAACTCTCGTGCGTTTATGCATTCAAGCATTTATAGTGTGAAAACTCCAGCCAATTGGCATTTATTGCGTTGGAAGTTTTCCTGGCGGAAAATAGTTTAATAAAAAATGGAAGATTTTGCAGGAAAATGGCAATTCCAATGATGATTTTTAATTTTTTCCTGTGAAAAAAGTCTATTAGAAATTTTAGTTTGGTATCAACTTAAAAAGTGATTTTGTTTCAACTTCTGGGTTTAAATAACCCTAAACAAAATTGATACTTTATGTCAAAATGTCCATTCAAAAGGGTGATTTTCATTTCATTTCAACTTCAGATAGCCTTCTGTTTAAAAAAACTGAACCAAATTGTCATTTTCATTTGAAATGGGATGAAAATTTTAATTTCCCATTGGTTCAAAACTTCCCCCTGGAGAAGAGACTTTTTATTCACAGGTTTCAGAGGGGTAGCCGTGTTAGTCTGTATCAGCAAAAACAACGAGGAGTCCTTGTGGCACCTTAGAGACTAACAAATTTATTTGGGCATAAGCTTTCATGGGCTAGAACCCACTTCATCAGATGGGTTGTAGCCCACGAAAGCTTATGCCCAAATAAATTTGTTAGTCTCTAAGGTGCCACAAGTATTCCTCATTGTTTTTTTATTCACAATTTCACATGGGAAAGAATTACATTTTTTGACCAACTCCAGTAAAAACTCCTGCAGAATCAGGATGATGTAACTTTGGTTATGTCTATGTAACTCATGCCTGCTTGGTGTGGCACTAATGAGTCTGCTATAGCTTTGGCTAAGTGCCACGTGGCTTTTAGCTCATGCAGTAGAGGCTCATGCATTAAGCTTCAGATATTCCAGGTTCAATTCTGCCTGCTGATGAGCAGGGTCTGTGGGCATTACATCTACACTTCAAACTGGGTGTAAATTCCAATTTGAGGAGACGTACCTGTGCTAGTTCTGATCGAGCTGCCATGCTAGAAACAGAAGTGCAGCCACAGTAGTGTGTGTTGCCCCAGGTACACTCCCATCTGAAACACTAGATACATATTATGGGCAGCTGGCCCCTCACACTGCTACCCTCTATTTTTAGTGTGCTAGCTTGATGGGAGCTAACGTGGGTATGTCTCCTTGAGCTAGGAATTATACTTTCCAGCTCCAGTGTAGACATGCCCAGAATTACCAAGGAAACTGCAGCTGTAGTGCTCATTATACACAGTCTATGCAGAATCCAGCCCATAGATTTCGGTAGAATTCCTGATTTATGCTGTTGTAAGGGAGAGCAGGGTCAGGATCTCGGTGTCTTCCCTGCTGCCAGAGAGATGGGCTAGAAGCAGCCTTTGCTTGCAATGGTATGAGCCATTACTTGGCTGATTGCCATGAGCATTTGTAGCTCTGCCAACTACCTTCCAGGCCCAGTGCCTCACTGTCATGTAACACAGCCTCTACCATATGCTTAATGGTTGAGATCTCTGTTAAACTTGTGACCTCCTCCTTCTCCCCAGGCCTTGTGTGCTGCCCTTCTTAAATATTTCATTAAATCATCGAGGTGCTCTTCCAGCACATGATAAATATCTGTCACCCTATCGAAGTACCTGAACTGACACACTGTCTGTTTCATTCTCCGTGTGGCAGTGTTATTTGAAATGGCTGGCTCCTCTCCCTTTCCTCTCTATAGTGACGAGCTAATAAAGTGCTATTGCTCTCTTCATTGAGCTGCATACACACCCCGCTCCTCCAAACTCTTTCTTATTCACATTAGCCACTCTTACTCTTACCAGGAAACCCACTGGAGCCAATGGGAACGGGTCTTCATTCCACAGGGGCATTCCACATAACAGCTGTTGGTACCATCTGACGGCTCACATGAGCTAAGAAGGGTTCTCTGTGTTTTTCAGTTTTCTCGCCAACCACAGATAGCAGCTTGAACAAAACTTAGCATTTAGGCCCCAGGGCGTAATATAGGAAAGGATAGAGTGACTTACACTCCCTTTACTTGCATTTATTCACTTGCTTTTGAATGCCAGGCAACAGTGCAATCTGTAATCAAAGAGATGGGGAGAATGTCGAAATATTAATAAAATGTCTATTCTCTGTGAAACAGGGTTCTTTGTAAATGACACATGTCAAAGCCCATTTTGAGATTGTTTTAAATGTTTTTTCATCATTTTTTTTACATCAAAAAAGCACAACAGGGTCAAGAGCAGGCTTGTAATGGGAAGTTATTTATCACCTTAACTATAGAGAGATGACCGCCTCATCATAACGTACCTGTTGGTCCCATGAACAACGGTTGCCATGCAAAGAATTGTATGCGTTAGGTATTGCCTTTCAAATAAGAAGGTGGAGATGAAAACTGATGAGACATTGCTCATTCTTTTTTTTTAAATGGCAAATGAATGAATTTATAATGCTAGCAGAGTAACTGAAAATGTGGCCTGAGGGACAGAGCACTGGACTGCAACTCAGGAGAGCTAGGTGCTGTTCCCAGTTCTGCCAGTGGCCTGCTGGGTGACCTTGGGCAAGTCACGTTGCTGCCATGTGCCTCAGTTTCCCCATATGTAAAATGGAGATAATGAAGCTACTCTCCTTGGTGTAGCACTTGGACATCGAGGGATGAAAAGTGCTAGATAAGAGCTAAGTTTTTTTTATTGACTCTTTCTTCCCAATTTTCCTCATTTTGTGACTAGTTCTAGTTTTTTTATTAAATTTTGTGGAAAATGCTTTGTGAAAAATATATCTGTGTTTTACAGACAAATTTTGAAGCCTGAAATGATTTGGGTAAGTGTACAAAATGCAGTACTTGTTCTCATGACTGATTGCTTGTATTGTGTAGCGATATACTTCCCGGAGGCCATGGAGAGCAGTTTAGTATTATAAGTATTTAGATAAGACAAAAGGGAGATGATTTACCTACAGCAGAGGTTTCAGTGTCCTGCTGATGAAGTATCTGGGGGGCAAGTCCTTTCTGCCCTGCAATCATACGGGTTTTTCTTTCTTTCCCAGCCCTGCCTTTGAGAGGAGTGATGATGACCTCGCCAGCACCTATTGCGTCCCTGACATTCTCTCCCCCACCCCTATCGATAAGGAGTATCTCACACTCAGCTCCACATCTCTGACCTCGCTCTCATGTGGCGGGAGCTCAGACACAGCCTCCACCACTATTGCCACCCCGCAGCCACGTGATCCTTTCTCGGCACCCTTCCCTGCTAGAGAACCGGGCAATAGTGACAACGAGTGGGAAGACTTTGAGGAACTAGAGGGAGAGGAGAAGGAAGAGGAATATACCAGGGTAAGTGATAACTATTGTAATAGCCCCATCGTAGGCTGTGACCCTTATTTTTATTACAGTCCAAAATATAGGGTCTGATCTGACCAGGTCCCAAACACTGAATCTGTGTATTGCTTGGTGCATTAAAGACCTGCGGCCAGGATCCCACCTGCTGTGAATCGGCGTAGCTACAACTGATGCTGATTTATCCCAGCTGAAGATCTGTCCCCTAATTTGTATCTAAAACATGAAGGAAGGAGGCAATAGAAAGAAAGGTGTTAAAACACATTGTGTGCTGCATTTGACAGGAAACGGAGGTGCTCGTCACTGTGACAAGATCGGAGAACAATTGTTACGGATTCACAGTGGTTCCTAACAAACTGGACAACTGCCTGTATGTGGAGGAAATCCTGGCTGAGCCTGCCCTGTCTGATGGAAGACTGAGAAGAGGGGACAGACTCATTATGGTACAGAAATCCTTTGAATTAAAAAGGAGGAACAGACACTAGTAGACCAGTGTCTTCTTGCTTTGTAGCAGGAGTGTAAGACACCAGAAATGTTAATTAATTCACTATATTAAATGTAACAAGCTATATTAACATAATAGTTTTCTTTCTTTGATGCATAAACAAAGCCTAGTTTTTTGAAGATTCTTCCTCAGCTTGTTGTGTTAAGCCTTGTCTTCCTTGTTGCTGCTAGAGAACTCCTTGGAGGAGTAGAGAAGTGGAGCAGGAGGTTTTTCAGTCCTCAAACTGATGAGTGTTGGGAATGTTTGAATCTTTAACAAAGGCAGCTTTCCCTGCAAGTGTATGTCAGGTGTCTGAGTTAAATATGTTAACAAAAAGCAAAGAAAAAAATAACCCCAAAGAGTTTTAAACAGTCTGACCAGATTCTCCCTCTCGTCTGAATATCTGGGGTTTCCATACCTAGTTTCTTGATGTCATCCTGCTAGTTCTCCCATCTTCCATAAAGGCCTCCAACAAAAATAAGGTAGATAAGAGCTGATATTTCTAATGTAAAAAGACAGAGGAAGACATTAAAAATGTCTTTCACACTTTCTTTATACATCATGAAGAAAAAAACAAGGCCAAAATGCATGGAAAGTCTATTTGAAAAGAGAATTTTATAGCAGTGAATGCTATAACAAGTCAGTCAGACCAGAATGGAGACTGCCTGAAGCCCATATACTGAGCTTTGTAAAAGGAAGGAATGTGTGGTCAGTTAATAAAAGACCTAGGACATGGTTATAGCTGCTCTCTGTCTCTTAGGTGAACGGAGTTGATGTCACAGCATTCTCCTTTGATGAAACCCTGGCGTTGCTGCACAGCTCTTCTCCCGATTTGAGCCTGGTGGTTGGCCGGGTTAACGAGGACCCCCATGCCTCTGTTAGACCAGATGAGATTCCTGAAATCACCCTCACAAAAGGCGACAATGGACAACTGGGTATGTGGTGCGGAGACTGAAATTTGCCCCTTCTTTAGGCCAGGACGGTGCTAGTGGTAAGCTGCATGAGAACTGTCACAATCCTAGATTTGTGCATTGGTGGGTTAGCTTGCCAGCTTCCCAATGCCATTCTTCAGGCTGGCCCCAGTCTATAGATCGTTGTTATCACACAAGGAGCTGAACACTGCTGCTCCTGAAGTCGGGGCAAAACACCTGTTGTGGCAGTAAGATCTGGCTTTAGATATATTTTCTGGGACATCTCTGCAATATCAGATTTTGGGATATCAGGGGCTTAGTCCAGATGCCTAGATGTTGGCATCTACCGTCAGCTGAGATATATAAAGCAACATTAGACCAAAAAAACAAGTGTGTGTTTGAGAAGAAGAGTGGTCTGGTGGTTAGGATGCTAGCCTGGGTCTTTGGTTCAATTCTCTGCTCTGCCCCAGACTTCCTGTGTGACTATGGGTGAGTCACTTCATCTCTCTGTGTCTTAGTTTCCTCATCTGTGCAATGGGGATAATAATCCTGCCTCACAAAAGTGCTGAGGTTAAATCAATTAAAGAGTGGCGCTGAGATAACGAGAGCCATATAAGTACCTTGGCTAGTCTGATTTCAATAACTATCCAATAGAAAGTGCTACACTCCAGTAGTTGGGTGTGGGTAGGCCCTTCATTGTTTTGTTCTTACCTTTCTCTCAGTAACATGTCCCTGTGCTTCACTGCCCCAGCCTGTGCTCTAACATCTAGTCCAGCTGGTGCAGGATTGTTCCCCACAGGATATTATCCAGTGCTTTGTCCAGCCTAGCGTCAGTGGAGCCAAGTCTCCTGTGGGAGACTGTTCCACTGTCCTAGTCTCACGCTAAGGAACGTTCAGAAACCACTGTGACACAATACACTTATCTGTATCCTTCCAGGCTTGAAGTTAACAGGAGGAGCCGGGAGCAAATTGCAGGGTATCTACGTGCTTGAGATCGTGCCAGGCTCTCCCGCCAGTATAGAAGGCAGCTTGCAGCCACGGGATCAGATTGTCTACATCTGCGGGCTATGGACGGAGGGCCTCAGCCTGGACGATGCAGTGCAAGTGTGTGAGGCTGCCAGCCACAATGTCTGCATCAGGGCAACAAGGTAAATCTGACTCTGTGATGCTTTAATGAGACTTCCATGGGTTAGTGCAGTGTGGAGTGCCCCATCTCCCTCTCTTTTCTCTTCCTCTTAGTCTGTTGCTGCTCCTCTCTCCCCTTTTCCACTGCTCTGTGGTGTGAGTGGGAGAGGTCAGTCTTGCTCTCAGTAGCAAGTCATATTGCTGTGTTGGCATCTAATACCAGAGGGGTAGCTGTGTTAGTCTGTATCCACAAAAACAACAAGGAGTCCGGTGGCACCTTAAAGACTAACAGATTTATTTGAGCATAAGCTTTCGTGGGTAAAAAAACCACTTCTTCAGATGTGTTGGCATCTGTTATGTTCATGACATACACACAGAGAAGTTAGTGTGTTTTGGTTTTTTGCTTTCTGGAAGTAAGAAATGTAACACCACTTTATATTTTAGAATCTAGCACCCTAACGCACCACAACCAAACCAGAGTGAGACAAAGCAGGCTGCTCCCTAAGGCAGACAGGCACAATTCAACCCACCCTACTCTAGGCTGGCTCTTTGCAGACTTCCCAAAGAGAATCCAGTTCACAAAACTTCCCTCTAGCCTGCAAGCAGGACCCTTACAATTTAAAGTAACAGCATGTAATTTTAACACAGTTTTTCCAACACACAGTAGCATCTGAAAAAGAGAAGCTTGTAATCTCAATCTGAAAAGCTTCATCTCAGTCCTTTGCCATTACAGACCACATTCATGGCTGGAATCATAGAGGGTGAATTGAGAGGAAGGAGTTGGTTACAAAATGTAGGACCTGACTTGGGCTGCCCAAATGTGCCTGGGGTCAGTCTTTCAGAACATGGGAGGTCTCCACAGTGTAGGCCTTAGTTCAGGCTCCTGAGGGAGGGGGAATCTCCAATTTAGATGTCATTGTTTTACAGTATCAGAGGGGTAGCCATGTTAATCTGGATCTGTAAAAAGCAACAGAGAGTTCTGTGGCACCTTTAAGACTAACAGATGTATTGGAGCATAAGCTTTCGTGGGTGAATACCCACTTCGTCAGACACGTGTGTTTTACAGGTAATTTCACTGAGCTAGTTATTACTAGAGGGCCAAGTTCTGAAGACAGTGGGGTTGCAAGAGGGTATAAAGGAGGATTTGATTCTAAATTACTTTAAATATTAAAATAATTGCTGGTGAATCATTTACTAAGGAAAACGTTTCTAGTCCAGGTGGCAGAATTCATTCTAGACTATGGTTAGTGCAGAGAGACCCTCATTTTCAGAGTCCTTCCTCCAGGGGCTTAAGAAATAATATTACTGGTGGAAGCACCTCACTCACCCCAGCCTGTTGCCCCGTATTTGATTAACAAGTACCAATGTGAACTCTCAGGTTGTAGGTGGATCATCCTAGGTGACTCGAGTTCAAGTTCCTCCCAGCCAACTGGCTGGCCATCCAATTATTCCTTGGTTGTGACCTTCAGGCCAATTATCTTAGTACAAACTTCTCCTTAGTACTTTAAATGTGCTTTGGGAAATGTAGTAAGCTGCATGGAACTTAGAGGGAGGAGCACAGCTTGCAGGAGGGAAAGATTTGGAGGAGGTATAGGGACTGGGGCATTGGCAGTCAGGCCTAATGGTTAGAATCAGGAGCCTGGAACCACATCCAATTGCCAAGCCAGGGGTCAAAGCCGGAGTCAGCGTAGGGATAGGAAAAGGGACCTAGATCAAGGCAGGAAAGCCGGAACTGGGAACTGATGGGGTCTGGGATAAGGAGGACAGGGATAGGCAGGAAGGCAAGTAGGCAAGATCTGTAGTAGCAGCCAGCCAAGGAGTCTTCTAGTTGCTCAGACAACTGCCGTTGCTTCTTTCTGGTTTAAGTAGGGCTTCCCAGCCAATCAGTGAAGCTGGATGTCTCCCCCAATCAAGAGCTTCATGCAAGCTACAGCCTTGCTGGCCCCCTTCTCCAGTTGTTCAGGTGAGCTGCTAGATGGCAGCTATGGTCTGAGCACTTCCTGTGGGCCTGGATTCGAGGCCTATGATTGCTCACAGGAGGCATCAGGAAGCCAGTCTATGTGCACATGGCTGGCAAGCCTGCTGCAGTTGCAGCACCTCTGTAAATAGTTCTCATAATAAAGATCCAGTTTATTATTAGAAACATGGAGTCCTTGCTTATTATTACCCAGCAGGCAGTGCATGAGAGAGGTGGTATGGGTGTTTTCTAACATAGATGGCTGTGATGTGAGGAAGGTGGTGGTGAAGGTAACAAGGAGCCATGGACAAACCAGTCTTCTCCTAGGTGGAGCAGATAGCCATCACTTCATTTTCAGCCCTCACCCATTGTCAAGCCATCGCTTTCTAATGCAACTTAATTGGTGTGGATGAGAATGTCAGTCTGTCCTGTAGAGCAGTGCCATGTCGTTACGCTGAATGCATGGCAGAACAATTCGCTGGCAAACATTTATAGTAGCTATGGATCCAACCAGAAAAATTTAATCTGGATTTGGATTCAAGCTTTCCCAGTGTTCCAGTTCAGATCTGTCTGATAGAACTGGCCCCAGTCATCAAGTTCAGACTGAGACCCAAACTCCTGGGAATGTTTGATGTTTCAGTTTGGGTCTATTTCTTATCAGGAGAAGTGGTCATTTTTTCTGATCTAGTAGCAGATTAACTGTAATTTGTAGTTCACGTTTCTCTCCTGGGTTACCCATCTATTAGGAGGTAGTAATTTACTTTTCTCTTAGCAAAAGATTACTGCAGAGATAGGCATTGGAGGGATTTTGCCTGGTAGGGGAGAAAAGTGGATTAGGAGCTGGATGGGTTATTCCAGTGATACTCAGACTGAGGCTGGGGAGCCACAAGTGGCACTTTAAAGTCTCCCCTGTGGCTCTTTGCAGCATATGATATTAAAACACTGTGTGATTTCATTGTTAACCAATTAGGATGCTTTTTCTATGATCACATGTTTCCTTACTCATGAAGAGCTGTTGAATCTATAGTACTATAGTAAATGAACCAATGAATTCACATAACTGTGGCTCTTTTGGGTAATGTTGATTGCTAATCTGGCCCCGGAAACACTGAGGTTTGAGTATCACTGGCCTGTTCCCATCTGTTCAATCAACAGAATAAAATGATGGTGTGTAGGATGCACCTTCTTCCTTGGTGTTGCTCTTAGCATCATCGTTGGACTCTGAAGCATCTTACAGATGCAGTAAATGGGACCCGAGAGGAATTTCTCCTCTGCTCCTGCTCTTAGCAGGTGCAAACCAAACTCAGTGACCCCAACCATCTATAATTACTGCCTTCTTTTCTTAAAGGTGAAGTGAAATGCTTAAAAACAAAGAAAATAGTACAAGAGTCTCTACAGAATTGGTTTCTATTTGAGATCAACAAGTGGGATCAGGGTCTAACTACCCTGAGAGTCATGGGTTGTTCAGGCCCATCTAAAAATGTAATTAAAAAGCATTTACTCCTTTGTATACTTGCCAAGACCTGACTTTACAGCTCTGTGGTTTCCCATGCTGCAGCTGGACTAGGGACGTAACCAGGGCAGGGTGAGAGGGGAAGCTGCCCTGGGTGCAAAGCTGCAAGGGCGGAAAATTGGGGTGGGGGGGATATGGGGTCATTTGCTCTCCCAGATTTCTGCCTTTTATTTAGCATTGAAGTTTTCAAACTGTGGCACATGCCCCTCTCATCAGGTCTTGATTGCACTTTGAATTTATTTTGGTCCCTGATTCAATGAAGCCCTGCACAGGCTATAGCAGGGGTCTCAAACTCAATTTACCTTAGGGCCAGGGCCAGTCCTCAAATCCTCCTAGCGGGCCAATAATGTCACTGAAGATGGTGTTCAGAAAAGAAAATGTTTATATTGTATTTTTTATTTCGAATTTCTTAGAAATAATAAAACTGTCATACAACTGTATACAATTCTTCGTCTGCCAGAGAGTTTTTAGTGTTTGCCAGACACCTGGCAACGCTTCAGTTCTGTCAGTTTGTTGATGTTTGGCCTCAGTGACTGAGCTGATGAAACCTTCAGGATTGCAGCAAGGTGTGCATCAGATAGTTGTGTTTGGCATTTTGACTTGTTTATATTCATTGTGGAAAAAAGTGATGCTGCCTCCATGGCTGACTGTGCCCGGTGACTAGTGACGGTATCTCCGTCCCTCTCCCCCAGCCAATGGGAGCTGCGGGGGGCAGCGCCTACAGCAGCCATTGCCGGCAGCTTGTCTGCATGCATCTCTCCTCTGTGGGCCATAGTGTAGGGTTACCATACATCCGGATTTTCCTGGACATGTCCGGTTTTTTGGGCCTCAAATCCCCGTCCGGGGGGAAATCCCCAAAAGCCGAACATGTCTGGGAAAATAGGGAGGGGCCGGCGGTGCTGGGCCGGGGGCCGGTGCTGGGCCGGGGGTGCTCAGCCAGGGGCTGGCCCGGGGCCTGGCGGTGCGGGGCCAGGCGCCGGGGGTGCTGGCCCAGCCCCAGGGCCGGGGCCAGCAGTGCTGGCCTGGGGGCCAGGGCCAGGCTGGGGCCGGCGGTGCTGGCCTGGGGGTGCTTGGCCGGGGGCTGGCCCGGGACCGGCACCCCAGGGCCTGAGCCAAGCCAGGCTGGAGACGCTGGGGCTGGGGCCGGCCGCTGGAGGGAGCCGCTCGGTTGGGGGGGCCAGACTGGGCCGCGCGTCCTCCCCCCACAGCTTACCTGCTGCCTGCTTCAGGCTTCCCGCGAATCAAATGTTCGCGGGAAGCAGGGGAGGGGGCGGAGTTGGGGAGGGGACTTTGGGGAAGGGGTGGAGTTGGGGCGTGGGCAGGGCGGGGCCGGGGCCCCATGGAATGTCCTCTTTTTGGACACTCAAAATATGGTAACCCTACCATAGTGGACAGGTTCTCGGGCCGCAGATGGTCCACGGGCCAGGACTTTGAGACCCCTAGGCTATAGCATGATACCCCGAAACAACTTCTGGATATCTCAGGTGGAAAATCGAATAATATAAATACACCAAAAAGAGTTACCTTGCTTAAAGAACTGACTAGTGAGTCTGTTGCAGTATGCCCAATAGGATTTCCATGAAGCTTGAATAATTTATTATTATCCACTATTTGTTTTATAGTAGCACTTAAAGGCCCCAACTGAGATGCACATTCACGTAGGTAGACACACCCCCTGTTCTTAGGAGCCTTCAATGTAAATGGACAAGCCAAACAAAGGGTAAATGAAATGAAGGGATATTATCCACATGTTACAGATGAGGAACTGAGGTTGGATTCAACCAAATGCACTGTGGATGTCCCTACATTGGGACAGACAATATATAACAGGTGCTTTCTTTCTCAAAAATATATGATTAAGGAGTACTGATGTTGGGTAAATATGGAATAAGAATCTATACATTCATTAAAGGCAAGTTCTTTATAAAACATGATTTTAAAAATAACATAATAATGGAAGTACAGATGTAAAAAATATTACTAAACTATATGCCTTTTAAACATATAGTACTCATACTTGCATTATAAAGTCTGGAATTCTTAGCATTCAGAACATTTTCTTTTTTTTGGCAGAAATGGCAATCCAGTGGTTCCCACAGAGCAGCAGAATAGTAAGTAATGCTAGTTATAATTTTATTTATGGGTTCACAATACAGGCCTGAATGTGGGAATCATAGACTCATAGAAATGTAGGGCTGGAGGGGACCTCAAGAGATTATCATGTTCAGTCCTCTGGACTGAGGCAGGACCAAGTATCTAGACCATCCCTGACAGGTGTTTGTCCAACCTGTTCTTAGAAACCTCCAGTGATGAGGATTCCACAACATCCCTTGGAAGCCTGTTCCAGAGCTTAACTGCCCTTAGAGTTAGAAAGTTTTTCCTAATATCTAACCTAAATCTGCCCTGCTGCAGATTAAGCCCATTACTTCTCTTCCTAACTTTAGTGGACATGGAGAACAATTGATCACCATCCTCTTTAGAACAGCCCTTAACATGTTTGAAGATTGTTATCAAGTCACCCCTCAGTCGTCTTTTCTCAAGACTAAACATGCCCACTTTTGTAACCTTTCCAAGTAAATTAGGTTTTCTAAACCTTTTATTATCTTTGTTGCTTCTCTCTGGACTCTCTCCAATTTTTCCACATCTTTCCTCAAATTAGGCACCCCAAACTGGACACAGTTACAATTTTGTAATTGTGCATTTGATTTTTCCTTCCTAAGTTCAGTACTTTGCACTTGTCTTTATTGATTTGCATCTTGTTGATTTCAGATCAATTCTCTAATTTCTGAAGGTGGTTTTAAATTCTTATCCTGTCCTCCAAAGTGTTTGGAGCCATTCCCAGCTTGGTGTCATCTGCAGACTTTATAAGCAGACCTTCCACTCCATTATCCAAGTCATTAATGAAACTATTGAAAAGTACCGGACCCAAAACAGACCCCTGTGGGACCTCTTTATATACGCACTCCTAGTTTGCCAGCAAATCATTGATAATTACTTTTTGATTATGGTATTTTAGCCAGTTTTGCACCCACCTTATAGTAATTTCTTCTAGACCATATTTCCATAGTTTCCTTATGAGACTGTCATGCGGGACTCTGTCAAAAGCCTTAATAAAATCAAGATATAGCATAATTTAATTTAAAAATTTTAATTTAATCTCTACAGCTTCTCCCCATCCACTAAGCCTGTAACCCTATCAAAGAAAGAAATTAGGTTAGTTTGGCATGATTTGTTCTTGATAAATCTGTGCTGGCTATTTCTTCTAATCCTATTGTCCTCTAGGTGCTTACAAATTGATTGTTTAATCATTTGTTTCAGTATCTTTCCAGGTATCGGGGTTAGGCTGATGGGTTTATAACTCCCTGGGTCCTCTCTGTTCCTGTTTTTAAAGATAGGTACTATGTTTGCCCTTCTCCAGTCTTCTGGCACCTCACTCATCCTCCATGAGTTCTCAAAGATAATTGCTAATGGTTCTGAGATTGCTTCAGCTGCTTCCTTATGTACCCTACGATGAATTTCATCAGGCCCTGCCGACTTGAATACATTTAACTTATCTAAATATTCTTGAAATTGTTCTTTTCCTGTTTGGCTTGCATTCTTTCCCCCTCATTGTTAAATTAATTGTGTTGAGTGTCTGATCGCCATTAATCTTTTTAGTGAAGACTGATGCAAAATCAGCATTAAAAACCTTGATGTCATCAGTTATTATCTCTCCTTACCCACTAAGTAGAGGACCTACAATTTCCTTCCTCTTCTCTTGCTCCTAATGTATTTAAGGAACCTCTTCTAATTACCTTTTACGTCCCTAGCTAGGTGTGACTCTTTTTGTGCCTTCCCCTTTCTGTATTTGTCCCTACATGCTTGTGCTATTCTTTTATTCCCCTCTGAGCAATTTGTCCATGTTTCCACATTTTGTAGGATTCCTTTTTGATTTTGCATGTGATTAAACAGCTCCTGATGGAGCCATATTGGTCTTTTATTATTCTTCCTATCTTTCCTTTGCACAGGGATAGTTTGCAGTTTGTCTTTAATATTGTCTCCTTGAGAAACTGCCAGCTCTCCTTTATCCTTTCTTCCCCTGGGACCTTACCTACCAGTTTTCTGAGTTTTATTAAAGTCTTCTTTTTGGAGTCTGTTGTCCTTATTCTGCTGCCTTTGCTCCTTCTTTTCCTTAGAATCAATTTCACCCAAATTGCCTTCCACCTTCAGATTTGCAACCAATTCCACTGTTGGTCTGAAGCAAGTCTAAAATGGCTGCCGTGCTGGCTACTTCCTCCACTTTCTGAATAAAAAAATTGTCCCTAATAGCTTCCAAGAACTTACTGGAAAATTTGTATTTTGCTGTATAACTTTTCCAACTGATGTCTGGGAAGCTGAAGTCCCCCATTACTAACAGGTCTTGTGCTTTGGATATTGAGGTTGTTTTAGAAATGCCTCATCCACCTCCTCTTCCTGATGTAATGGTCTATAGGAGACCCTTACCATGACATCACCCCTCTTTTTTTCCCTTTTATCTTTACCCCGAGACTTTCAACTGCTCTGCCTCTCCCCTCCTGCTGGACCTCAGAACAAGTGTTAATATATTCTTGGTGTACAGTGCAACACCTCTTCACTTTTTCCCTGCCTGTCCTTCCTGAACAAGCTATACCCTTCTATGCCAATATTCCTGTCATAAGATTTATCCTCCAAGTCTCTGTGATGCCAAATAAGTCATAATTTAGCTTGTGTACGAATACTTCCAGTTCTTCCTGTGTATTCCACATACTCCTTGCATTTGTATATAGACATCTAAGATGTTGAGCAGATTCCCCCAATGATTTCCTTGTTATTGCTCCCATGACTCCAATTGTAAAAAAAAATTCTGCTCCCGCTCCCAACATCTAACCCTTTGTTAAAGTCGCCTTTTTATGCTTATCTATGGGTTTATATGCCCCCCTTTGAACCTAGTTTAAAGCCTTCCTCACAAGGTTGGCAAGTTGGTATCCAAAGATGCTCTTCCCCTTCTTAGTCAGGTGGACCCCATCTCTTCCCAACATCATATGGTCAAGGAAGCCAAAGCCCACCTGTCGACACCATCTGCACAGCCATGCATTCATCTTCAGGATGTGTGCTCCTGCCTGGGCCCTTACCCTCAACCGAGAGGATGAACGAGAACATAGCCTCACCCCCAACTCCTTCAGTTTCACCCCTAGAGCACTGTAGTCACTGCTGATCTGCTCAGGGTCGTACTTGGCAGTTTCATTAGTGCCCATGTGGATAAGCAGCATGGGGCACTGGTTAGAGGGATAATGTTTCCAGGATCAGTGGATCAGAGTCTCAATAACCTTTCCATAATGTCTTGTACGTGGACTCCAGGCAGGCAGCAGACTTCCTGGGACTTCATGTCAGGTCAGCAGATGGATGTCTCCAGCCCCCTCAGAAGGGAGTCACAGACCACTAGCACCCTATGCCTCCTCCTCTTGGGTCTGGTGGCCATGACCCTCTCAGCTTTGGGGGCAGGTGGCACCTTCTCTGCCTGTGGCCAGTACAACATACTGGTTCTTGACTGCGAAGGATGGAGAACCTGGATGGGGGTGGAGCACTGTCTACTGCGGCCGGCAGCCAGTCTCTTTCCTGCAGAGGCGCCTTCCCTCTCTGGTGCTGCTATAGCAATCTGTAGTCAGCTAACATCCTCCATCCTGGACATCTCCATGTGCATCCTCATAGTCCTCATGCTCCTGGATGCAACACGGATGTACCATCTCCTCCTGCAGCTTTCTTACCTGCTTCCCGAGGGACTCCATCAACAGACACCAGGGTGGTTCCTCATGCCTGGCTTTCATTGGCAGGGACATGCAGGCCGTATTCCCAGCAAGTCAAGACAAGGACCTGGATAGAAGCTTCCAGGGTCAGGAGGACACCTGGTTGGCCAGGCCACCCCTGCAGCAAAGGAAGAGCTAGCAGTGCTGTTAGCGGCACACCATTTTCCTCCTATTGTCCTTCTTCCTTGTAGAGTACCTGTAAGTTAAGGGAAGGAAAACAACAACCCTAGTTTCCTGCATTCCTTCGCTGGTGAACTCCCTTAATCTCCCAGCTGCCTTCATCTCACTAACCACATGTCTATGTTGATATGTTGCATTTTAAAATATGCAATGGATAAATTACCACTTTTAATTTATTATTTCTACTAAAATCACACCCATGGTGAGAACAGAATTACACAGCACTTTACCAAAAGAGAGAAAATGTAGAACTTGGTGAACTATTGGCCAAGAATAATTTGTTCAAGGAATTTAACCCATGTTTGAATTCTCCATGCTCAGATTTTGGTGAATTTGTTCATTGTTCAGACAGATTGGATGGAAGTTTTCTGCAAAAATATTTTAGTCTCTGGGTTGATTGCAAACGATTCACTAAGACTGTTTTGACTATTTTCTATCCATACTTCACTGTTGCACAATGTGATTGGTCAGCTAAGGCCTTGTCTGCACTGCACCAGTGTAACCACACTGATAGAAAAACAGAAACAAACTGCGCTGTTATAAATCCCTTTTTAGCACTATAATTGCATCTGCACTAGGGGGTTGCATGGATGTAACTAAATCTGGTTTTCAACTGTTTTAGTTAAATTGGTGCAAAACCTGAATGTAGGTGAGGCCTAAGTCAAGTGATGATGTTTCTGATGCCTGATTGGCTACCTGAAATCTTTATCCACATGAGGAACGCCTGAAAAAGTCACTTCTGGACCAAAATGTCTCACTAGCACATATTTCATTCATCTTAGTGAGACTTTAGCTTTCCATGAATTTTCCCAGGACGCTTTCAAAACCAGTTATTCTCTTTCCATAGATGTTTATCATCACAATAATACAACTCAAAGGTGCAATAAATTTCATCTCCTTGATTACATATTCTTTTTATAATCCCAAATGATTCCTTTTAGCAAAGGCCTTTTAAAAATAATAATAATTTGCTTCTCAGTGCATTTATTGTGTTGACAAGGTAACACCTTCCTTATATGCAACACCATGGCCAAAAAAGCTAATACAGTCATTGGATGTATAAACGGGAATCTTGAGAAGAAGTAGGGAGGTTTTATTACCTCTGTATTTGGCCCCAGTATGACCATTGGTGTCCAGTGATGGTGGCCACAATGCAAGAAGGATATTGGTAAATTGCAGAAGGTTCAGAGAAGAGCCATGAGAATGATTAAAAGATTCGGGGGGAAACCCATGCCTTATAGTGATAGCCTTCAGGAGCTCAGTCTCTTTAGATTAACAAAGAGAAGGTTCAGGGGTGACTTGGTCAGTCTATAAGTACTTACATGAACAACAAAAAGCTGATAATAAAAGGCTTTTCAATCGAGCAGCCAGAAGTATAAAAAATCCAATGATTGGAAGTTAAAGCTAGAAAAATTCAGACTAGAAATAATATGCAATTTTTTAACAGTGTGGACAATTGGAACTCCTGGAACAATTTACCTCGGAATGTGGTGGATTCTCTATCAGAGAAAACATTTAATTCAAGATTGTATGTTTTTCTAAAAGATCTGCTGTATTTTAAACAGGAATTTATACAGGGAAGTCCTATAGCCTGTGTTATAAGGACGTCTGTTAGATTATCATAGTGGTCCCTTCTGGCCTATGAATGTACTAATTTACATTATTTGAGTTCCATAATAACACAATAGAACATTTATTGCTTATATAATTCAAACATAAAAAAACCCACATAGTGAAGCCAGTGAAAGTTGCTAAGGGATAATAATGCAAAACTCAAAACCAGAAAGGAACAGGAAATACAGTTTTCAGAGCGGTAGCTGTGTTAGTCTGTATCAGCAAAAACAACGAGGAGTCCTTATGGCACCTTAGAGATTAACAAATTTATTTGGGCATAAGCTTTCATGGGCTAAAACCCACTTCATCAGGTGCAAGGAGTGGAAAATACAGTAGGCAGGTATAAATACACAGCACATGAAAAGATGGGAGTTGCCTTACCAAGTGAGGGGTCACTGCTAATTCAATTCAATTCAATTAAGTTGGAAGTGGCCTATTCTCAACAGTTGACAAGAAGGGGTGAATACCTAGGGAGGGAAAATCACTTTTGTAGTGCTAATGAAGCCAATGCAATCAAGGTGGCCCATTTCAAACAGTTGACAAGAAGGTGTGAGTATCAGCAGAGGGAAATTAGATTTTGCAATGACCCATCCACTCCCAGTCTTTGTTCAGGCCTAATTTGAGATGTCCAGATTGCAAATTAATTCCAATTCTGCAGTTTCTCGTTGGAGTCTGTTTTTGAAGTTTTTGTTGTTGAAGAATTGCCACTTTTAAGTCTGTTATTCAGTGTCCAGTGAGATTGAAGTGTTCTCCTACTCGTTTTTGAATGTTATCAATCTTGAGGTCTGATTTGTGTCCATTTATTCTTTTGCGTAGAGATTGTCCAGTTTGGCCAATGTACATGCAGAGGGGCATTGCTGGCACATGATGGCATATATCACGTTGGTAGATGTGCAGGTGAACGAGCCCCTGATGGCATGGCTGATGTGGTTAGGTCCTATGATGGAGTCCCTTGAATAGATATGTGGACATAGTTGGCAATGGGGTTTGTTGCAGGTACTGGTTCCTGGGTTAGTGTTTTTGTTGTCTGGTGTGTAGTTGCTGGTGAGTATTTGCTTCAGGTTGGGGGGCTGTCTGTAAGCGAGGACTGGCCTGTGTATTTATACCCGCTACTGTATTTTCCACTCCATGCATCTGATGAAATGGGTTTTAGCCCACAAAAGCTTATGCCCAGATACATTTTTTTAGTCTCTAAGGTGCCACAAGGACTCCTCGTTGTTTTTTTAGGGAATATAGTCTACTGTAAAGCTATATATCTACATACATTGCCTTTTCACATATACACTCACAAACACATACTATTCATTCCCTTAGCAAATTGACCCGACTTGACTGCACTCACCAAAGATAACGTTAACTTTGCCCTGTGCTTGTTGTCAGCATTTTAAAAACATTAATTATGGTGATTAAACTGCATGATATACTCATGAGTTATGCAAGTATTAATTATACCATTGTGCAAATGAGGAAACTTAAGCACAGGACAGGGACTCTATGTCACAGCAACTAGACACCCCTGGCTAGAGCCGGAGCTGTGGGACCCTCCCACCTCGCAGGGTCCCAGAGCCCAGGCTCCAGCCTGCGCCTGGAAGTCTATACTGCAGTGAAACAGCCCTGCAGCCCAAGCCCCATGCAAGCCTGAGTTGGTTGAAACAGGCCAGCCATGGGTTTTTCATTGCATTATAGACATACCCCAAGTGTCTCATCCAGGGTCATACAGTGAGTCAGTACTGGAGCTGAGATTAGAATCCAGGAGTCCTGGCAACTAGTTGGCTAATCTAAACCCTAGTCTGCACTCTCTCACATACATTAAATTTAGCAGGGTGCCTATCAGCTATAGCAAATCTACACGCTTGTTTTTAGAGCCACCTGCTGAGCCAGAGGAAGTCAAAGTATCTCTCTCAAATGAAAACGTGAGTCTCCAAGAACAACATCTACCCTGTCAACATAGTAAGGAAATTACTTTGCATTTCTCAATCTGGCTTTGTAATGTTTCATGCCATCTCTTTCAAAGAAAAAGAAAATCTGCAAGTGCATCTGGCTGTGAATGGAAAAGATTAATTATTAGTAAGCAAAACTACCTCCCCTGGAGTATCAGAGAACATATTTGTGCATTATCAGTTGTCCAACTGATGTTTCCGACCCTGTGACGTGCAGCTTTAAGAGTTGCTTGGGAAACTGCTATGTGGGAGGTAAAAGGACAGTAGAGGACAGGCACAGGGTTCAGTTAACAGCTCAAGAAGTGGAACTGAACAAGCAAACCGTGTAAGTGCAGAGTGAGTTTTTGGTGGTGGTCTTTTGCTTGTGAAAACAAAAATAACTTGCATTATGTCTAATAGTAGTGTGATGTCCAGTGTTACATTGTAAAACCTACCGCTAATGCAGCTTTGTAAGAACCCATCCTGCTTTCTCACAGCAAAGCACTCGGAGGAAGAAAGTGGTGGGGTTGAGCAAAGCACATCTGACTCAGCAGATTATGAGGTAAGTCATCGTTTTGTCAAGTGCCAGGCAGCCTGCCGAACAGAAGGGATTGCGATACAGATTTCGGCAGTGGGATTTTCTACAGTGACACTGAATGTATTTGCTTTATCTTCTATTCCATTGCAAGTGTAAGCATATTCTATGAGGGCCATAGCTCGTGAGGTGCAGAGCAATCACTGGCTTGAAGGTGCTGAGCCGCTCACAGGACTAGGTCCCTCTACTGCTATTTTTCTATGTGTAATATCGCTATATTACTAGCTCTGTAGTATAAAAAACCCTGATCATACACAGTGCCCTCTTGGGAGCACTCACAAGGAGTTTAGCATTTCCAGCTCCTCACAAGATCGAGCCCGAACAGAGAAGGAAAATGGCACAGACGCTAGAGATCTAACAGTACATCTCGGGGATTCTGCCGAAATGAATGTAACTAGGGCTGTGAAACACCTTTGCAGTGTGAGAGTCCCCAGAACTCCTTGGAACGTGAGATTTCTGCATGTCATTATGAGATTGTTGAACTGGTCCAGGGTGTGATAAACCTGTGGAATTTTACAAATATTTTTGGTCCAAAATGGCTTTATCTTAAATATATAGTCTGACTTGCCAGCAGGAGAGGTGACGTATTTGAAATTTTGAATTTCCAGATTAGAAATGTGTATTCACAGGAAAATCAGTCTTCTCACTGAAATGGACAACATTTCCATGTCTCACTGCAGATACTCATACTCATTTCTGCAAAAATATCAGGGCTGCAAAGAGGCTTGAAATTAAAATTGCCCATTTTGGGGGTGGAATTTTTATGGCGATGTATTTGCTAGTGTTATGCAGCTGGTGGTTTGCTGGAGGGGGCTTCTGGGAGCCTCTTGTTAAAATTCAACCACCAAACTCAAGGGGAAATTGGAATGACTTCCCTGCTTCTGATGAAGCTCCCCCCCCAATCACTGGATTCTTCTACATCATCTCAATCTCATCTCCTGCATCATCATCATCTGTATCTGGGTAGCACATTAAAATATTTCTGAAGAGCAATTCTTTGTCTTTTGGAGTGGAACAGATTGCCACAAGTGTTAGAGAATGTGCCTCATTATCAATGTACTCTACATATTTTTCAGGAACAAAATGTAAACATTTCCAGGGCATTGCACTTGATATAAGTTTGTCTGCCAAAACCTTAACTCTGACCTCAAACTTCTGCCTGTGAAAGTAACTCATCATACTATCTACCGGTGCACAAATGCCTAACAGACATGAATAGTGGTGTTGCTGAAGCTAAGGTTTTGCATTATAGTCCAGTGGAGAGGCTGTGTATTGTGTTACTGTACATGTTGGAGGTATATGTGACTTACCCATCAGTGAAATTTGACCTGTTAAAGAAGAATCCCTGAACTAGACATTTTCTTGCTTTTAAGGGTTTATGTGGGTGGGCTTTCCCCTCAAGACACTTTAATTGTTTTTAATAAGTTTATTTTTTCTGGAAATATCTATCATACCATCTCTTTGGTACGTATGTGCAGCTGCCATTTAAGTCCCTTTGTGTGTCTATGCAAGAGAAGAATTTGCCCTATAATTTATACCATCAATGAGTGAAGATTGTAAATCGCATTGTATCCTGTGGAGTTAAGAGCACATTAGGAATTTTCAGTCACGATCACTGTCAGTTCATCTGGCTCCTGACTTAGCTCCATTTTGAACAGGGCCTTTCTGTATTGCAGGACTGCATCATTAAGATTGAGCTGGAGAAAACTGCCAATGGGAGTCTGGGATTTGCGCTAGTAGGTGGCAGAAATGGCCGGGCTATCCTAATTAAAGCCATCAGCCCAGGAAGTATCGCTGATCTCGACGGGAGGCTTCAAGTGGGTGACATCTTACTAAAGGTAACATTTGGCTTTGCTGCTTTGGTCTAGATTTGCCCTGGAAGTTTAGGGAGAGTTTGTGTTACTCTGTGCAGTCATAACCAAACACTGAACATGATCACTGTAATCAGATCATAATTGGGGGTTCCCGTGACTTGTCACCTGCCTGGGCAAATGTCAAAAGTTTGGGAAGGCTCTCGGGAGTGTGGGGGTGCTAGCCTGGCTGCAGCTGAGTTTCCTACTCCTGGCATAGTGCTTCCCGTAAGGGCAGGCACCAGTTACTGCAAAGGAGGTGTATCTGTGCTACTGCCTGCGTTAGGCCGCTGGTTTCTAGAAAAGGGTTGGCCTGCTTCTGTGACTCAGATCAGCTGGCCTCTCTGTAGTGGCTAGGGTTACCATACATCCGGTTTTTCCCGGACATGTCCAGCTTTTCGGCAATCAAACCCCCGTCCGGGGGGAATTGCCAAAAAGCCGAATATGTCCGGGAAAATGCCGGCCGGGCACTTCCCCTCCCACGGCTGCTCTCCTCCTCCCCTGACTCTTCGGCTCTGTTTAAGAGCCGAGCTGCCCGAGCCCTATGGGCTTCGGGCAGCCCCCTTGCCTCCGGACCCCAGCCGCCGGCCGGGCACTTCCCCTCCCGGGCTCCAGCTGTGCTGGGGAAGTGCCGGCCGGGGGCGCAGGGTCTGGGGGCTGCCCGGCAAACCGTGAAGCCGGTAGCGCTCAGGCAGCCCTTTTCGCGTGGCTGGGAGTGGGAGGCAGGAGGGGGCGGAGTTGGGGCGGGGCTGGTGGTGGGAAATGTGCGGGGCCAGGGCCCGGTGGAGGGTCCTCTTTTTTTATTTGTTAAATATGGTAACCCTAGTAGTGGCTTCTGTTAATGAGTTAGCTTGAGACAGCAAAACCCCAGACTGAAATGCTGAGCAACTCTCTGCAGAGACTGCACACGCCAGCCCTTGTAATTATAATAGCTAATTAAACAGCCAGGCTGACAGACACCCAGATACCAGAGTGATGGGCATGGGCAGGATTGTGGGGGAGGGGAGATATATTGCCCTCCACAACTTCCAGCCTATGAGGCAGCAGTGTTATCTGTGTCCTCTCTAACTTCTGGCTGGCCGCGGGGAGAGTGAGCGGGGGTGGGGAAGGCAGGCAGTAGAGTGAGGTGAAGAGGAAAGTCTGAAGCTGCTTTGTGGAGCAACATGTCCCTGGCCTCAGGTAGGTGGGAGGCAGCTGCGCTGCTGCCTGTACAAGTCACTCTGTCCCCTGCTGGGGCTTTTCTCTGCAGAGCTCAACTCCCTGCCAGCCTTGGCTTCTTCCCCTCTCCCCCCACACCCCAATCTTGGCTGAGTGACTGCAGAGCATAGGGTTACCATACGTCCGTTTTTTCCCGGACATGTCCAGCTTTTTGGTAATCAAACCCCCGTCTGGGGGGAATTGCCAAAAAGCCGAACATGTCCGGGAAAAATACCGCCGGCCGGGCACTTCCCCTCCCGCGGCTGCTGTGCTCCCTACCTTGACTCTTCTGCCCTTTTTTGCGTGGCTGGGAGGGAGGAGGGGGAATGCGGGGCGCTCAGGGGAGGGGGCGGAGATAGGGTGGGGACTTTGGGGAAGGGGCGGAGTTGGGGTGGGGCCAGGGGTGAGAAAGGGGCGGGGCCAGGGCCCCGTAGATTGTCCTCTTTTTTTATTTTTTAAATATGGTAACCGTAGCAGAGTAGAAGTCTGGCCAAGCCAGGAGGGGCAGCACTGGCAGGAGCTGCGGTTTCTCCTCCCTCCCTAGTGCCAGGTTGGGGGGGGGCGCTGGGGATGGCAAGTGTGGGGAGGAGGGAGGAGATATTGGGGATTTCACAGAGGGAGCAATCTGGAGGACAGAGGAGTCCAGGATGAGGAGGACTCCTGTGTGGGCTGGGGCCAACTGCCAGGAAGGTTGGGAGAGATGCAGGAGGGCACCCCAGGGATCGCAGGGGGTGGATCACTGAAGAGCTGGTCACACATTTCCAGCGGAAAATGGCCTCTTGCTCCAGACCGAACATTTGCAGATTTTGTTTTGTTTTTCTTCCCAAATTTTCCCCTCTTTTTAACAAAAAGCTGAAAAAAACCCATATCCCCAAATTTGTTCTTGTTCATATTTCATCCCCACAGCTCCCTTTCTCTCTTCTTTCCATTGGATAAAGGGGCAAAACATGGAAAACTGAAAATGTGTCAGTTCCTAGAGGGTGGTGGCTTTCTGGTGGTACTGCTCTGTACAAAGGCCTACCTAGGAGAGAGGTTCTACTGAGTTATTAACAGTGAAGGGGATGCGGACAATCAGAGCCAATTGAGCTGCGGGCGAGGTGTGCACATGTGCTCCATGCCAGTGTGCGATATGAAACCCTTCTGCTCCAGGGCTGTAAAGGCATTTGTCTTTGTGTGCTTTCCAGGTGAATGGAGATTTAGTGTCTGGTTTGACGCGCAATACAGTGATCGACCTCTTACGCAAGGCTCAAGGCACCATTCAGCTCACTGTCTGCCGAAGCGTGGCATTGCATTGGGCTTATTCAGGCAGCCAGTGTGATACTTCTTCCCTCCAGAGCACAACAGCCCAGTCGGGTAAGCATTAGCGCAATCTACTCCTTGCATGTTCAAAGTGGGCAGTTTGTGTGCTTGGGCTTGACTCTCCTCTCAGCGACACCAGTATAGCTCCATTGACTTCAAAGGAGTCGATCCTGCTTTACACCACTGTAAATGAGAGTAAAATTGGGCCCACTGCCCCTGATTCGCCGCTCTGACCGAACAGTGCGTGGCACAAGACCCCAGGGAACAGGCAATGGTGGCTTTGAGCCTCATTCTGGGGATAGTTGCGGGCAAAGTTATAGCAACTTCAGGGATGCACCGACTTAGCTCTGGTTTCTTCTGTTCCCAGTGGGCTATTCCCAGAGCTGGGAATAGCTGGAGTGCAGAGACAAAGCTGTATACAAAGTTGTGGTAATTTACATATATAACTGGCCATTTAACATCTAACTGGCGTCACTGAGTCAGTGGTTCTCAAGCCCTGTTGGTCCACTATCCAATAAATGGTCAGAAAATAGCCCTAGATATCCCATAATCCTTTTGAGGTCCAGGGATTTGTGGGATATGAGCTATGGATTGATTTTTTGGGGCCATTTTTTGGCTTGCTCATCAAAGAAGGTAGGAGTGGATGACTTCAGGGGTCAAGGGACTGGTGCTTTTAGGTTGAGCTAGTGCACTGTAGGGATAGGGATTTTGTAGTGCTGCAGTTTTCTAGAAAGCCTTGCAAGCATTTCCCAGTCCTGGGATCTAGATGCAGTTTCATCTTGCTACGCAGAAGGAGGGAGGCGGTTTTCCTTTTCTTCCCTGCTATCATCATCCACATGGGCCTTTATTCCCTTGCTCATTACCCTTACGTTAACCATGTCAATGCTCAGTCTGCTCGTTCTGACATCTCCACATTCCATTGGCTCTGGATGGCCATTAATTCCTTGAGTCTATCTCTGGCTTCCGTCACCATGGTATCTGAGCATCTTCAGTGCATTTATTCTCTCAGCACCACACTCCGGTAGGGCAGTGTGGGGAACTGAGGCACAGTGAGACAAATTGATGAGACCAAGGTCACACAGGAAGGCTGAGGCAGAGCAAGGAATCCTACTTGGGTTTCCTGAGAGCCTTGCTTGCTCTCTAAGTGCTGGCCCATCCTTCCCCTAATGCTGCCCAGACTCTACTGCCGGTGTGCCGTGTAGGGAGAGGTTTCTCACCCAGGCTGGGTGCTGGGGGGTGCCAGCCAGCGATGTCACAGAGACTGAGGGAGAAGGTTCTACCAGAGGGTGTGACAGTTGGCGGCAGTTGAGGAAAGAGTCAGGACGGATGGGGACGGGGGTCCATCAGGCTAGGCTGATCATGAGGGACATGGCCCCCAGGTGAACCCCGTGAATTGGAGTCAGATATAGGGAGCAGCTGGTTTATGTTCCCCCCCCCCTTTTTTCAGTCCTTTTGAGCGTCAGGCTGAGGGCGCGAGCCCGACCTACAAGTCACATTAAAAGTCTCTTCTCCACAGGGCTCGGAAGCTGTGTTAGGTGCTGGCCTGGAAGGAAGAGGTGACCTGTTCCCCTCTCATCTCCAGTGTGGGAGTAGGGATAAGTGGGGCAGATGGGGAAGAGCTGCCAGATACACAGCCTGGGGAAATTCTGCTCCCACAAAGTCCCTGGCAAAACTCCCATTGACTTCAGTGCGGGTAGGATTGCACCCTATATGTGCTAGTTGGAGGAGCCAGAAGCTCACTTGTCCAGAGCCTGGGGGGTTTACAGCTAGTACCTGCTTCTGTAGCTCTATGCTGGTGGGCTTTCCATGCCGACGGCCCAGCTGCCAGTGTCACACTGCACAGAAGAGGAGGAACTTGCCTTTCAGATTCTAAAGATCTTTTTCTTTGCTCTCACTCTCTTGCGTTCAGATGAACAAGGTAACGAGAGAAGCCTAGAAGCCAAGCACTCATTCACTTTCAGAGGAGGGGAAGAGGAATCCAGCCAGATGTGCAGCAAGGTGAAGCCTGAGTGGAATTTCTAGACGTTACCTGGTGACCTGTTTACATATGTCTCAGTGGCATGGGTTTGGGGAAATGAAGAGAAATCAGTTAATGGGCCACCCCTCTGGGGCGGATCATATTCTAATAAAGCAATAAACCATGCTGAAGGGAATGGGCTATTATAGGCAGAGCTGTTAGCTCCGGATTGAGGCAGGGATCATAGGGAAAAAAGCATAGTATGTGATCCTGTAATTAAAGACTGTCTCATAACACAGACACACAAGGGAGCTGAATTCAAATTACACGGACAACCTTTAATCTGGCATTTCCTAACTTCTGAATTTTGACTTTGTAACCTTAACATTCTTTTAACGTCATTTTTTTAATGAAATACGTATTTAAAAAGTTGCACCTTACTGACCTCCAATTGCTGCCTTTGAAACAACTAAACTTAACTTCCTAAAACTTAGTTTGGTATCTAAGCCTTAGCAAGGTCTACCAAATATGCCAAGTTTTGTAGCTTCGGCCATGTTTTAGTTATACAGCTGTAAAATTGCTGATAACAAAATATGACCACAGTGTAATTCTTTCCATGCTCAAATGATTAAAAAAATGGCTCAACCAATTTAACTTCTTTTTTTTAAAAAGCATCTTTGAGTTGAATTGAGCTGAGAAAATTTCAGGGTGGGAGGAATTTGTTTGACAAAGTTTTGAGCAAGGGATTAGAATGGAGATTGGAACTTAACTGTCCAAGATCAATAAAATACAGACTCACATATATGCTGTGCATATGATCTAGCAAATCAGTATGCCCCCAAAATAAAATAAAATCCTCAATTAGCAATATATTAAAACTCTTGTTTAATTTTAAGCATATGGTTAAGTCCCTCCCTTCTCACCAAAGCACATGCTTAGCATTCAACCCACATTTAAGTTCTTTGCTGAATGGGAGCCTAAAACTTATGTCTTATTCTTGGTTATTTTCAGCATGTCTTGAGCCCAGTCTCCTTCAAGCAGGTAGTGTATATGCTTTACTTTCAAAACCACTGCTGCCATTTGCTCCCAATGGGTAGCTTTGGAAACTGACAGTACTGAGAAAAATGGATGAATAAAGGAGCAAAGCAAAATATCTTCTCTCTGCTAAGAGACCAACAAAAATCCCCATGGCTTTCTCCACTCAATTTGGTCCATAGGTGTAGAAATTGGATTACTGAATTCATGCTTCTTTTGTATTTCTGATGGGGGGAAAGTAAGCCTGAATATATGGCAATAAGACAGAAATGGTGACTTTTGTAGAGGTACTTTTGGGGATTCAACAGTTTATACTTTGTAACATGCAAAGATGGTTTTCTGATTGCATCTGAAATACAAATTAGGGAAAGAATGAGAGTAAATCCATCCTGAACTGAAATCTAAGTAAATATCTCTCAAATGTTACAATTGAGAAGGATCAATTTGCATATAATAAAGGCAGACGTTCTGTATCATAATCTAAATGCAGAACCCAATTATCACTCTGGAACTTTACAATCAGCCACCGATACGCACACTCTCTCCTCCATCTGGAGGGCAATCAAGTGTCTGCTTTCTCTGCCAATCAAGTGTTCCTTCCATAGACCAGCTGCTCCGTGCCACTAACAGCTGGCATTATTGTGCCTGGGATTAAAAAGCAAGTTATTGCAAGTAGTTCATGCTCATCCAATGGTGCTTCCTGCTGCCAGTTAATATAGTATATGGGAGACAGAGAGCATGGCGTGGATCGTAAATCCTGTAAGTGATTGTACTCTCATTGTGAGAGCAGAGAGGAATAATTTATATGGATCCCTCCAGATCTCAGTGATGCATGCTAGGATGTGCACTTGCACAGAGATGTCTGGATTGTTGTGGAGCTTGCAAATACAGCTGAAGAGACTTTTTATACTGAGTAGGTCCTGCAATGCTGAACTGAGATTCGTGCATGTATCTTTGACCGGGAAACTTTCCATTTCCCTTTTCTGGCTTTGACAAGGGAAAATGTTTTTGTCAGATAAGAAGTAAATTTATCGATAAAATTAACGCTATTCTCAATGCTTCCTCCGTTAATTTTTCATTATGGTTTTATTTTGTTTCCACAGGATTCAGAAAGTAAATGCAGTTCACCCCTGCAAAGTCAATCAACTGAACTGGAGTTTGGGGCAAATGCAGACAGGTCAGTCTTTCCAGCACATAAAAATTCATGACAATGTACAGCATGTTTGTTCTATTTCTTTGAGCAATCCTAATATCATAGATTTATACAGCACCATCCATCCCATAGTCAGTCCCAAGCTATAATTATTCAGCACTTTTGAAATGCAGCTACCTCTGGAATGGGGATGCCAACAAGTCCCCCCACAGCAGTGACGGGAGGGGGAATTTTGGACAAGGACATCAAGGCATATTGTACTCTTACAAAAATCATCTTAAGGTTTATGTTGTGTGTGCAGGACCAGGTGGTCAGATTTTCATGCTCAGCACCCTCAGCTGCCATTGACATTACTGGATGTCCCCTGGTTCTGCTTGGCTCTACCTTGGAAGTCATCGAATCTGTGATCAGAAACAGTCCCCCATGACAGAGATCAGCCATCTCACAACATGAATAATGAATTAGTTCATCTGAGCAGCCCATTGACTAAAATACATTTGTATAAGTCATTCATCAAATGACAAACAAAACCATAAAGATCAAAGTCTATTTGGGGATAATTCACAAACAGAAAAAAGAGTTCATATGGTTGAATAAATAGTTGGCCCCACTTTCCAGCAGACACACGTGGATGTGAACTGGAAAAGAAAATGTTAATCAGCCATTTTCATAACCGTCAGAAGTATGTAGCTGCAATTTTGGTAGAAAGTTTGGTGGGTGGGTTGTGTTTTCCACAAGATCAGTAGGGGTCCCGTCCCTCATACAAGCGGAGAAAGAAATTGTGTGTGATTTTCTTGCACTTAAAGGCACAGGAATTGTTTTTTTCTGTTTGAAATTAACAACTATGATAAAGCAGACAAATATTTGTATCTGGCATTGGTCCTTGTGTAGTTAAGAGGTGAGAATGTGACCTGCTAGTGCCGTTTCATTGTGGACTGTTGTAGTTCAAGATGAGCTAATGTTTCTTATGTTTAGTTCTATACTAGACTCATAGACTTTAAAGCCAGAAGGGACCATCATGATCATCTAGTCTGACCACCTGCACATTGCAGGCCACAGACCCTCACCCACTCCTGAAATAGACCCATAACCTCTGGCTGAGTTACTGAAGTCCTCACAGCACGATTTAAAGATTTCAGCTTACAGAGAATACACAATTTACACTGGAAATGGGTTCCAGCTAAAAGTGTGGCTCTGGATCCAAACTTTCCCAAAATTTAGTGTGATTTAGATCTGGGGTTTTGGTTTCGCCCATTGAAGAGTTAAAAGTAGCCTCAAAGTTTGGATTCAGATCCAGACTTTCCAAAGTTAAGTGGTATTTGGATTAGGACTTTCTATTCAGGGCTATCTCTGTTCCATGCTGTAAAACACTCTGGGGGATATTTATTTTAGGAAGCCCTACCAGCTCTGCCTATTAGCTAAGGTAGGTTAACACTTCTTCTATTATAAGACTCTATTTTCAGTTGCTCATAACTTTACCATGCTTTAACTGTTGTTAAAGAGTTGTTTGGGTTTACATATAAGGTCTCCTCAGCCTTTTAAAATTAAGCTCCATAAAGTTAACAGCAGATACTGTTAGCTGCTGTATTTACAGACACTGCTACAGACAAGGGGACCCTTTGCTGTGGGGGACTTGTGACATCCAAAACTCATGCCAGTGCCTGAAAACGGAAAGTTAGTGAAAGTGCTGAGTAGTTTAAAAAGGAGCTTAGAACTCAAACACTTATGCAGCCTTCACTGTAGTGGTGGCTCCCACTCCCAACTAGAATGTTAACTGAATGTTGCTTTACAGATTACAGAAATACTCCAGGTGTGAAAGCAGCCTTAGAACAGACAGTCAGGAGTCTGAGACTGACAGCTGGATAAGTGAGGAAGATGGAGTGGCCCGGAGGATTTCCGTTCTACCCAGAGGTAAATGTGTGAAAGGCTCTCTCTTTTCTTTAACATACTGACCCAGATTCCCAGTATAGCTTTAATGAGCTCAATAGAATTAGGCCCATTCCGGAACTATCTGTTCTGTCTTTGTACAGTGCCTAACACTACTGGTCTGTAAGTAGGGCCCCTAGATGCTACACTGATATAAATAATAGTCGGACACCAGCTGAGGCTCTCTCTCTATCTATCCCACCTGTGGCTTCTTGGAACACAACTTTCATCATTATGCTGCATGCTATGGCCGTTGGAACTTCATGATAATGGCAGGAATAGAGCTTAGATTGTCCTGCTCCAACAGTACAGGCCCTTGTAACTTGAGCTAATGAGGAATCGCCATTTGCTGTTAGCATGACAGGGTCTATGACCAAAGCTGGGCCAATGGAGATATTTGTTGAACAATGTAATTAAATTTACTGAATCAATTACTCCTCATTTATAGTTGCATATGATTTGACCAGATCTACAAGCTGAGCAAATAAAGGGGAAAAAGTTAATTACCTAATTTATTTGAATAATGTCACTCCATTTAATAGAATCATAGACTTTAAGGTCAGAAGGGACCATTATGATTGTCTAGTCTGACCTCCTGCACAACGCAGGCCACAGAATCTCACCCACCCACTTCTGTATCAAACCCGTAACCCAGTGGTTGCCAAATTTGTTCCGCCGCTTGTGCAGGGAAAGCCTCTGGTGGGCCGGGCCGGTTTGTTTACCTGCCGCGTCCGCAGGTTTGGCCGATCACGGCTCCCAACGGCCGCGGTTCGCTGCTCCAGGCCAATCAGAGCTGTTGGAAGTGGCATGGGCCGAGGGACGTACTGGCTGCTGCTTCCAGCAGCTCCCATTGGCCCAGAGCAGCGAACCGCGGTCACTGGGAGCCGCGATCGGCTGAACCTGCGGACATGGCAGGTAAACAAACCAGCCCGGCCCGCCAGGGGCTTTCCCTGCACAAGCGGCGGAACAAGTTTGGGAACCACTGCCCTAACCTATGTCTGAGCTATTGAAGTCTTCAATTCGTGGTTTAAAGAATTCAAGGTGCAGAGAATCCTCCAGCAAGTAACCTGTGCAGCACACTGCAGAGGAAGGCGATAAACCCCCAGGACCTCTGCCAGTCTGCCCTGGAAGAAAATTCCTTTCCGACCCCAAATATGGCGATCAGCTAAACCCTGAGCTTGTGGGCAAGACTCACCAGCCAGACACCCAGGAAAGAATTCTCTGTAGTAACTCAGATCCCACCACATCTAACATCCCATCACTGGCCATTGGGCGTATTTACTGCTAATAGTCAAAGATCAATTAATTGCCAAAATTAAGCTATCCCATCATACCATCCCCTCCATAAACTTATCAAACTTAGTCTTGAAGCCAGATATGTCTTTTGCCTCCACTGCTCCCCTTGGAAGGCTGTTCCAGAACTTCACTCTGATGGTTAGAAACCTTCGTCTAATTTCAAGTCTAAACTTCCTGATGGCCAGTTTATATCCATTTGTTCTTGTGTCCACATTGGTACTGAGCTTAAATAATTCCTCTCCCTCCCTGGTATTTATCCCTCTGATATAGTTATAGAGAGCAATCATATCTCCCCTCAGCTTTCTTTTGGTTAGGCTAAATAGGCCAAGCTCTTTGAGTCTCCTTTCATAAGACAGGTTTTCCATTCCTCAGATCATCCTAGTAGCCCTTCTCTGTACCTGTTCTAGTTTGAATTCATCCTTCTTAAGCATGGGAGACCAGAACTGCACACAGTATTCCAGATGAGGTCTCACCAGTGCCTTGTATAACAGTACTAACACCTCCTTATCTCTACTGGAAATACCTCGCCTGATGAATCCCAAGACCGCATTAGCTTTTTTCACGTCCATATCATGTTGGCGGCTCATAGTCATCCTGTGATCAACCAATACTCCGAGGTCCTTTTCCTCCTCTGTTACTCCAACTGATTCGTCCCCAGCTTATAACAAAAATTCTTCTTATTAATCCCTAAAGGCATGACCTTGCACTTTTCACTATTGAATTTCATCCTATTACTATTACTCCAGTTTACAAGCTCATCCAGATCTTCCTGTATGCTATCCTGGTCCTTCTCTGTATTGGCAATACCTCCCAGCTTTGTGTCATCCACAGATTTTATTAGCACATTCCCACTTTTTGTGCCAAAGTCAGTAATAAAAAGATTAAATAAGATTGGTCCCAAAACCAATCCCTGAGGAACTCCTCTAGTAACCTCCCTCCAGCCTGACAGTTCACCTTTCAATATGACCTGTTGTAGTCTCCCCTTTAACCAGTTCCTTATCCATCTTTCAGTTTTCATATTGATCCCCATCTTTTCCAATTTAGTTAATAATTCCCCATGTGGAACCATATCAAATGCCTTACTGAAATCGAGGTAAATTAGATCCACTGCATTTCCTTTGTCTAAGAAATCTGTTACCTTTTCAAAGAAGGAGATTAGGTTGGTTTGGCACGATTTACCTTTTGTAAAACCATGTTGTATTTTGTCCCAATTACCATTGACCTCAATGTTTTTAAATACTTTCTCCTTCAGAATTTTTTCTAAGACCTTGCATACTACAGATGTCAAATTAACAGGCCTGTAGTTACCCGGATCATTTTTTTTCCCTTTCTTAAAAATAGGAACTATGTTAGCAATTCTCCAGTCATACAGTACAACCCCTGAGTTTACAGATTCATTAAAAATTCTTGCTAATGGGCTTGCAATTTCATGTACCAGTTCCTTTAATATTCTTAGATGAAGATTATCTGGGCCCCTCGATTTAGTCCCATTAAGCTATTCGAGTTTGGCTTCTACCTCGGATGTGGTAATATCTACCTCCATATCCTCATTCCCATCTGTCATCCTACCATTATCCCTAAGCTGCTCATTAGCCTCATTAAAGACTGAGGCAAAGTATTTGTTTAGATATTGGGCCATGCCTAGATTACTCTTAACCTCCACTCCATCCTCAGTGTTTAGCAGTCCCACTTCTTCTTTCTTTGTTTTCTTCTTATTTATATGGCTATAGAACCTTTTACTATTTGTTTTAATTCCCTTTGCACGGGGAAATTTAATTCCCTTTCTACATGGCTTTTGGCCTTTCTCACTTTATCCCTACATGTTCTAACTTCAATAAAGTAGCTTTCCTTGCTAATCCCTCCCATCTTCCACTCCTTGTAGGCTTTCTGCTTTTTCTTAATCACCTCTCTGAGATGCTTGCTCATCCAGCTTGGTCTACAGTTCCTGCCTATGAATTTTTTCCCCTTTCTTGGGATGCAGGCTTCTGATAGGGTATAACTGAATTTGTTCAACAACCTATTTCAGTGTTTCCCAAACTTTTTTGGCCACGGAACACTTTTTAGCCTATTACGGAACACTTGTAATATTATTTTGTAGTCGTTTGGTTTTCAAATAAAAAATTGTGTTATTTATGCTCAAATATATTTTATTTTATAAAACAAAGCAAAAATACAAATTTAAAATAACTTGAACTAACAATTTCTAACTGGAAAGCGCGTATAAAGTAGTACAAAAATCAAGTGCAAGAGTCAAAATTAAAAACAGTGTTCTACTTAAAAAAAAAGTTTTTATATATACACAAACACCAAACAAATTAGATTTTTACTAGGAAAATCTATTTTTATAAACAGAAATACAAATTTGGATTTAATGGGATTGGTGTTTCTGCTTAATATTAGGAATAATGCTGGAAAGTTGAATCCTCATGTCAGGCGCAGCATCAAGTCTATTCCTATATTTGGTTTTTGTTGCAGTATAATACAAAAATCCATCTCACACAAATAAGTTGTAGCAAAAGGAAGGAGCACTTGAACTGCACGTTTAGCCACATTAGGGTACTCTTCTATTAAGCTGCTCCAAAATTATTAAGCGGAAGATCCTTAAACTTTTGTTTCAAATCAGAGTCAGAAATTAAGTCAATTAGGCTTTCATAATCGTGCGCAGTAAAGCCGACTGGTTTGGCTGTAATTACAAACGGATTTCGAACCCAAACATTATCATCAGTAGTTGTAGGAAAATATTCTAATTAAGAGGCCTGCAAGTCACATAAGTGCTATAAAATGGTGCTAGAAACTTCTTCATGGACTGTAGAATTTATTTCAGACAGAAATTCATGTACTGTCGGGAAGCAATCAAAGTTATTCTGTTCTACAGAAGATGCCCAGAATTCCAGTTTCTTTTTTAACGACGAAATTTTATCCATTGTAGTGAAAATGGTCATTCTTTCCTTGCAGTGACAGATTAATTTCATTTAATTTTGCAAAAATATCTGCAAGATACGCAAGTTTCATTAGCCATGAGGAATTTGTCAGACAGTCATTACATTTTCGTCCTGAATTATCTGAAGTGAAGAATACCAGTAGTTCATTACGAAGCTCAAAAAGCCTCACAAGCACTTTTCCTCTGGATAGCCACCTCACTTCCGTATGTAAAAGAAGCGCTTTGTGCTGACTACCCATTTCCTCACTCAAAATTTTAAATAACCTGTATTGAAGTGGTCGATATTTGACAAAATTGATAATTTGTACTGCTTTATCAAGCACAATTTTCCGATATGCTGGTATTTTTTTAACTGCAAGTGCTTGTCTGTGTAGAACACAATGGCTCTTACTGCTTTCTGGTGCCACACTTACGATTCGCGTTACAGCTCCCTTCATCTTCCCGATCATTGCCTGAGCACCATCAGTACATACCTCAATACATTTTCCCCAACTAATTTCATACTTTCTGATAAAATTGTTGATGCAGTTGAATATTTCTTCTCCAGTTGTGTTGCTTTGCAGAGATTCACATAAGAGCAGGCCCTCTTCAATAATATTGTTAAATCTATATCGGACAAATACTAGTAGCACAGCAAGTCCTGAAACGTCAGTGGACTCATCTAGCTGCAATGAATACTCATGGCAAATTTTCAGTCAGCAAACTAGCTCTTTTTCTATGTCATCAGCAAGATCTTTAATACGGTGTG